GTTTATTTCGTCCTGCAGTTAGCGAAACTGTTTAGGCATTGACACGTGGCCAAATGTTCAGTAACTTTGACCGACGTCCTTCTTCCTCCTCCGTGACGGTCCTCCTCCATTTTGCTTTTCTCCGTCTCTGCTCCTCCATCATCGTCCTCCAGGCAGAAGTTTCAAAATTTGTTTTGATTTGCTGTGAAGGATCAAATATTGTTACGAATTTAAGAGGTATGGAACTATAATATGCATTTATATATTATTTTTATTTTGATTTTGTTAATTGAAAAATCTGATAATAATATTGTAATTTTTTTAAACTCTACATATGCAGGTGATTTGGTAATTAAGTGAGAGTGAGTGAAGAATTTGCTGAAACTACTACTGAGACCGGTTCATAAGGAATCGCTCTCTAAAATAGAGTTATGAGAGCGGTTTTAAAGTAACCGCTCTAAGAAGTCATATTTCGTACTTTTTGTGGCGAAATAGATATTAAAAAATTCAAAAATTAATTACTTTCGCCGGCCGTTATAACGAAAAATTGATCCACGTGGCAAAAAAATCTCAGATTGAGAAATTGTTTCAGATTTGCTATAAAATAATAAATTATTTTTTAATTTACAATATTATAATAAATTTGCCTAACTTCAACGTGATTCGATATCTATTATTTAGGTTTACAAACTATACATAACTTCAACGTGATTCAATATTTATTATTTTATACTATTTGACCAAAAAAAATTATAAACTATCTTATTAATAATTTTAAATTAATAAAATTGTCTTTACAATTTTAAAATATCATATTTATAATATCTTTTATTTAATTTTTATTTTTATATGTGAGTAATTTACTTTATCCTAACATATATAGAAACAAAGTTTGCATAATATATTTGAAATATTTGTGTCCCGCTAAGTTGGCCTTTTTAATTTCTTTCGGTAGAATAAATTATGCTTAATTCTTTTGAAAGATGTTAAAGTCATATTATCTTTTTTTTTATTTTTAAAATTACATTTTTTCTTAAAAACTAATGTTATAATTCAGTATAAATTTAATTAATGTAAATTAATATCTCATAATTAATCATTTTAATATTTCTACGATTTTTAGTATTATTGAAAATTAATGTTACATTTTTACAATGAATTATTAGTCTTAGAAGATTAATTGAATATTTTAAGTAACCTTTCAAAGTCAATAATTTAAGTGTTTTATCTAATATAGTATGAAAATCGATATACAATATTCCAATTTAGTTATTGGTGAAGAGTAAAAAAAAGTTCATGTATAGTTAGTTATTCATCACTATTAATAGATTTTTTTATATTAAAATGGATGAAAAGTGCTGCTTAGTATATGAATAATTTGTACACAAAACGTATATGAAGGTGTGGCCATAACCTCGCTCCCTCTTTAGTATTTCAATTTATTATTTTCATCCATTGAAAGTGTAAATATCATCTTTTATCGTACCCAACAGTGTTACTCAAAATAAGTGAAAATAAAATTTGAGATAAATACATCATCCACTTTGTTATATCACACCATTCTTATACTCCAACTTTCTCTCCCTTAAAATTCATTGTGCATATGTGTGTTGTGCTTACTTATTCCAGCTATTAATATATAAAGCTAAAGGTAAAAATTATTATTATTACGTATCCAATTAAAAAAGGCATGTAAATTATATATGTAAGTTCACAAGTTTTTATTGCCTATAAAATATGAGATAAAATAAACGCATGATACAGTTTCTAAGTTCTATAGTAACCCAGTCAAAGTGAAGTTAATGCGTAGGTTGAAAATGCAGAAAATTTTGCTTTTTCAAAATTAAAAACTTCAAGTTGTGAAAGAGACTTCTGCAACAGCCCAAGCTCAGGCATTAATAGCACGATGTCGACGGTGAGTATTGACAAGCTAATCGTTTTTGATTGGTCCACACTGAAATTTCTCCGTCATGGCAATGCCATGGTCAAGAGACTTAATCGCTAACTAAGATATTGAAAGGATCAACTTTTGCAACATTCTGAGTTATTAAATATTGATATTTAGTTTATAAAAAAAATGTTAATTTTAACTTTTAAAGTTGTACTTAAAATTTTATTTTAAAAAATATATTTATTGTATTTTATAATTTTAATGTAAATAAATGTTTTTTTAATATTTATTTTAAATGTTTAAACACCGAATAGTCCTAAGAATTGAAATTAACAATTTTTTTTAAATTTTTTTCAACTAAATGTAGGGATCAATTATACTTGCATACTAACGTTTGAGTCACCGTTCCTTAGATAAAAATAAAAAAAATTCAATGTGGTTAAATATAATATTTATGTTTTTTATATTTGTTTAATAGTTCTATGCTATTTATCAAAATCATTTTCCTTCACCAAATTGATTTAAGTGATTAGTTTTATTGAAATATCGTGTTAAAAATCTTATAAATAAAAGTAGTAAGTTTTAGAGGAGTCTTGGTACTGTAAATTTACCTAATTTAATTCGACTTAAAGCGTATTTAAAATGATTTTCGATTAGCAAAGGTTGAAGACAAAAAAATAAATAAATTCTCTTCTTTAACTTATAAATCTGACAGTTCATATTGGGAAAAGAAAAAAAAAGAAGAAGAAGCATACGTTTAAATTAAAAGTACATATAACTAATTATTTCATTTCATTTTTCCAACACAAAACTAGATAAGTATATATCAATGACAATTAACCTCGAAATGGATATAAAATAACAATTTAATTAACAAATAAAACATGTTCAATTTTTAAAAAACAAAAATTACGTTATAGAATTTTTCAGATTATGTGGATCTTATGAAATATTAAGATAAGTTAGTCCCCTCTTAATTTGAAGAACAAAAACACGACAAGGAGTAGGATGTTTTCATATGAAAAATAAAATAAAAATAAAAATATAGTATTTTAGAAAAAAAATTACAAAAATATGATATTTTTAAAAAAAATTTCAGTGACAAAAAATCTTATTTTTATTAATTTTTTAAAAATTGTGATTGGCAAATTTTTAGTTCAAAAATTTTATTATTATTTTTTAAATTGCCACCAATAATTTTTAAATTTTTATAATTTTTTTTAATATTTAAAAAATTCATCAGTGTCGATTTTTAAAATTTTATAAAATTTTATTGTTTCATCACTTACACCAAAAATTGCTATTTACAATTTGAATCTTATATTTCTATACTTTTTTTTAAAAATATCTTAAATATGTATAATTTTTAAATTTCATATACAAAGCAATAATCTAAGAAGAATAACCATGTTTATTTAGTATTTGGATTAATAGAGAAAAGTTTCTTGTAGTTTTGATAGTGTTTAAATAAATTTTGAGTAGTTTAGAAATTTTAACTTCACGTAATTTTGATTAATTGTAAATTAAATAAAGTGTTTAAATTTATATATTAAAGGAAAAGACAAAATTATCTTTATTATGTTTGAAGGCTTTTATATTTATTTATTCTTACACTTAAACGGTTACTTTTTTGAAATAAAGAGAGGATAATAAAGAAAAACACCCGGATAAGACCCTAAGTTGTAAAAGAAAATAAAATTTTATAAATTTCCATCAAGTAAAAGAGAGAAAAGAAAATATTGCTTACTAAAAAAAATAAAATCTTTAAAATTGAGAATTCATTATTAGTTTTTAAAATACAATTTATGATGGTCTGATCAAGTCCTTGATAATATGAAATTAAGCAATTTATGTATTATATTGAGGGATAGGATTTTTGCAGTGATATCATTTATCTTATAAATATAATATATTTTTATTTTAAAAATGAGATTTAAAATAATAAAGGGTAAAATTTTGTGATTGAACCATTTTCACTTTCTTTTTCCCAATAGAGAGACTGTTCCCATTATATTAAACATCATGGTTTTAATAGTTATATAGTTTTTAACATGACCATACGTTTTTTAATCACATACACGGTCTTAATTTAACTATAAGGGTAAGATAATCCAACAACATAAGGCTGTTTGATTTTTTGACTTGAAAACGTTGATCTTAACAAATTGCTTGAGTTGCAATTTAGTCAAAATCACATAAAAATTTAAAAGTTTACTTCCTTTTGAAAAGGTTAAAGATCTTGTCTAGTCATTTCTTCTTATCACCCCTTTTTTATTTTTTTTAATTGTTAAAAAATAATATATAAAAAAAACCTTTAAAGTTAACAATAAGAGTGGTTCTTCCTTTTATTTGAAATTATTTTTAAAATATTTTTTATTTTATTTACAATCTAGTCAAAATACATAAAAGATTAATTTGAACACAGGGTAAATCACAGTTTTTTAAAGACATTTAACCCTTAATATTTTATAACGCGGTGATGGTCGCTTTGCCTTGTATATAAGATTATATTTTATTACAATTCAGCTTTCATCCGTAATATTTGGATACAGCGATACAATTATTTTTCTAAAGCTACTTTTAGAAAAATGTTTATTTATCAATCGTAAACATGAATACAATATAATTCTTAGACGGGAAATGATATTTTTTTCATTGTAATTTTAAATTTATAGGTCGCATTAGATGATCATATAATAAGTATTAAATTTCCAAAAGAAATTGAAAGTATAGCGATAGTAGTAATATCATACTATAATTCCCATATTTAAGAGTTTATATAATTTATTCCACCTTGTAATTAATAAATAGATAAATGACCCCAAATTACATTAATGAAGAAGCATTATAAAATAAGATTAAATCCAAAGAACAATGAGCAGTGCAAGAAGCAGCATATAATTGAACCTCCAAGTTGATAATAGTTTATTCATGACTTGGCCCATTGCTTGAAAATGTGTATCACTAGACCATCGTTTTCAAGGAAAAAAATTATACACGTTATAACTTAGAGCAGACTTTGGACACTTTAAATTGTGACCAAGTTAAACTCCTTCTTGCTCAAGGGCCCCTAATATATATGGTGATGGAAACTTCTATAAGCTAATCAATGGTATGGTTTTGGAAACTGATATGACAATTGAAGTTACAGAGGCTGTTCCCTTTGACTTGTGCTATATCTTCCCTGAATAAAGTTCAAGTGATGCCCCCCTAGTCTCCACGTTCCATTCTTCAATACCCTTTGTACCTTTCCTAAGACTCTCACTGCAGAAACCAAGGAGTGTGTGTGAGTTAGAGACTAAGACCGAAGAGATGGGTAGAGCTCCTTGCTGTGACAAGGCCAATGTAAAGAAAGGACCATGGTCACCTGAAGAAGATGCAAAGCTGAAGGATTACATAGAGCAACATGGCACTGGCGGGAACTGGATTGCTCTACCACAAAAAGTTGGTGAGTACATACATACATAGAGATATATATTATGAGTCATATTAAACTTTTCATAGTAATGATATGATACCAATATGCAAGGATCTTAATTCTTACCACTTTTTCCTTTGTCTTTGTTCCTGATTGAATTTGTTTTCATCAGGTTTGAAAAGATGTGGCAAGAGCTGTAGACTAAGATGGCTTAATTATCTAAGACCGAACATTAAGCATGGCCAGTTTTCTGATGCTGAAGATAAAATAATCTGCAACCTCTTTGCTAGCATTGGAAGCAGGTAACAGAGTTCATTTCACTTGATTTCCCATATCATTTTTCTTTTTTTATCGCTCATGAACATGGATGTAACTTGTCAGAAGGTTCCATAAATGATGAAAATAATGTAAATAATTTCCAATTTTAGAAACAATCAAAGGGATACATTAGTGGCTATTTAAGGTTTCTTTCTTTTTTCACTTTTAGGAAATGGAATATGTAAGGTAAGTACAGATATGGCATGTACTTTGTTTTTACGTCCTCTGCATCACTTCATGCTTTTAAAATTTAGATCTACTATGAATGTTAGCGTTACATTATTAGTAAGTTTCTTATAGTGAACTCATTTTCACCGAGTGCAGGTGGTCCATAATAGCATCACAGTTACCAGGCAGAACTGACAATGATATCAAGAACTATTGGAATACCAAGCTTAAGAAGAAAATGATGGCAATGAATCCTTCACCACAGAGGAAACCTGAACAAGTTAGCCTTTTATCTATCCTTCAAAGTTCGACATCGTCTTTACCATTATCGTTCAGAGATAGCAACAACTCATACTACAACCCTCATGGATCTTTCACAGGATCAGGGTCCTTTTCCTATTCATCAAGTCTTTTGAGTGGAAATTCTTATGCTTCTGCTGGTTCCATTTTTCAAGCACAAGAAAGTTTCATGGACACCACTCAAAAGTGCCGATATAAAGATAGCAATAGCATATATGTGTTTGGGGGTGAGGCTACCAGTTGTAGCTCTTCAGATGGTAGCTGCAACAACCAGATAAGTCATGTCATGGAACCAGAGTTTGGATATGGAGAAGGGAGTGGTGATGCAACTTTTGTTGGGGTTAATAATAGCTTCTATAGTGGGGTGGAAGATATTCAGAAGTTGATGTTCTCCAATGTTGGTAGTGTTAGTGGGTACACAGAAAAACAAAATGGATTGTGGGGTGAGAATCAATTGGATTATGGTCTTGAGGAAATTAAACAGTTAATTAGTACTAATAACAGTGGCAGCAACTTTTTGTTTGATGAGAAGAAGACAGAGGAAAGGGTAATGTACTACTGATGCTGACTGTGGTTAAGATTAAAGGGTGAAGGGTAAAAAAGGGATAGGTAGAAGATTTCAGAGTTGGACTTGGTTGGTGTTTTGTGGGATGGGCTTTTAGTCTTTGTATAGAGCCACTTTCTTTGTTTGAAAGTACATTGTAAAAGTTTCCTTTTGCATTTACTTGGCCAAAGAACCTTACCCATTCAAACCATTCACATGTTCTAAACAAATGAAGAAAAATGAAAATGAGGAAATAGGGGGTCTTCATACTAAACTAGAGTACCCTCCCTATCTGTAACCCCTTTTTCTTCCAAACATCGTAGATCCTTGCAGCAGCAGTCCACTTATATTTATTTTCCGTGTATCCCATGCATCATCTAATAATATATTTAACTATTAATTTTTTTTATAAAGTCAATCATGGACCTTAAAGCATAAAGATCAAAGTGTATAATCTTATCATTTGCGTACTATACCAACATTAATTATTCTCTTCTAATAAATTAAAAAAAAAAAAACCACCTTGTTCTAATAATTAAATCTTAAATTAAAATATACACCGCTCAATTATTGAAGTATTTTTTCAATTATTAGTAAATTTAAATCTGTTATAGTTATCCTGTATTTGATTAGATTAAAGAACGTCGTTCTAAAGGAATTATGTTTAATTTAGGTAAATTTTTAGAAAAACCTTTTAAAAAAATATAAAAAGCAAATAAAATATCTTTTAAAAGTTAAAATAACTTATTTTTTCAAATTTTATAAAGTTTAAACAAGAAAACACTTTTAAAAATAAAAAAATATAAGTAATTTGTTATACTACTAATTTTTTCTTTGTAAATATTTTTCTAGAAATTTATCTAAATTGAATTTATAAATATACCAATGAAATATGAAAAGTACTTAAAATGATTATCTCCGAGTTTAATTGTGACACGTATTGTACATTGAGGAACAATAATTGTGCTAGGCTGGACACATCACTAATCAAGCCAAACTATATGATCAGGGGAAAATCGATTCACTGGGGTTATTATAAGCATGTGATACTTGCTTCTACAGCAAATAAAGGGCCATGGCCAATCATGAGGGGGCAATTGTATTACCATTGTTTTTTGGTACAGCAATTATGCCATCATTGCCATGACTATGAGAAGAAAGGGTTATATACTCGTGGAAACTATAAAGTTGGGGTATGTTGGATTTCTATTTTAAGAACAGTTTTTCGTTTTTAAAAATATAATATAATATAAATTTATATTTATTTTATTTTTAAAAATAAAAAAATTATTTTTAAAAAGTGAAACAAACACTCTCTTAGTCTGCGAGTATCCACCATGTTATCTTGCAAGTTTCTTTATTTTTTTCAATGGTTTAATCATCAATATAAGAAAACACAACACATCACCTCCATCGTATAATTTTTTAAAGCATAGGACTAGGACTTGCAACCTATACGGGCTACCAATTTTGGTCTGAAAGTGAGTTATCCATAAACAAATCCAACTAGGGAAACAGAGATTTTAAACATGGTATTTAATTAAATCAAGCATACATGATTCAAATAATTAAAAAATGCCAATGGGAGATGAGTCCATAGAGCTCTAAAAATGAATGATATTAAGATAACGATGCCTTGAATATGGCATTGTTTGGTAAATTGTTTAAAAGAGAAAATAGAGTAATTTAACATTCCAATGGAAATAACAGATATAAAACTAGAAGATGAATACGAATTGACCTCTTCCACCATTTTGTTTGCTTCCCTATGTGAGATTAGTATAGATTAAAATATCAGATAATTGTCTTAAAGCAATGTGAGGACTAGGTTTTTCCAGGATTGCATTTTCTAGTGGTGTGTGTAAATGTCAAACAAGCCACTCTTTGCATTATAAAATTTCCACTATGACTGGTATATTCTTGCCTTCATGTGAATTTGTTTTTCCAAATGCTTTAAAGTTTTCGTGTTTCCCTATACACAAGGAGAAAGAAGTTTTCAACGAGTTGGACTTTCAGATGTTTGTCTTTAAAAGAGAGATAGCCAATCAACAAAAGGTGAAATTTCTTTCACACCCGCCAAAAAATGTGTAAATGTCAGCTATTGGTAGCTCATAATTATGAAGAATGCATTATCTCAGGTCAACTATTGCATTCTTCATTATTAATTTACTAATGAATTTTTCGCATAAGCATGGAAGAAAATTAAATTTATTTGAAGATAAATTATATTGACCTTCAGCAGGTGTATCGCATAAGTATCTGTACAAGCAAAAGTCAAGAGATAATGCAAAAACACTTTAATTTTTGTAACTAAAGCAAACCATTTCCTGTTCTGTTGAAACACAAAACTAAAGTGAATCAGGAATAATAAAAGAAAGAAAGAAAAAACAGTATCAGGATGGGATGCTTGTGAACATGAGATATGACATGGTGATGTTGTCACGGCTAGCTCACAACTATGTAATCCAATCTTATTTAAGTGGTTGGCATTTAAGACTTTACTATATATATATATATATACTACTGAAACCAACTCTTATTAATAAAGAATAAGTTTATATACCATAAATTAAGAATCAATAAAATTGACGCGATTCAAATTTATGCTAAATACTCTTAAAATAAACATTTTTGGAGTGGTCTAAAATATTATAATGTTAGTTTGCAAGTATTTATTTTTGAGTAATATTACTTATATAACATATATTTTATAATATCTTTTACACCAAAAAGAATAAAAAATTAAATTAGATAAAATAAATAAAGTGATCAAGAAACTATTTATCTATCTATCTATTTAAACTCTTTTTTGTTGAGTGAAAAAAGAAAGAAAAGTAATTACATAACAGGAAAAAATTATGACTTCTATAAAAAAATTTTAAAATTTTATTACATTATATTTTATGATTGTCATGAAATAATATTTATTCTTGTTTTCTTATTTATCCATGATAAATAGATTTTGTAAGAATTTAAATTAAACTTAATAAAGATAAATATTGTTAGTAAAATTAGATTTAATAATATTAAATGACCAAAAATTATCATGTTCAAATGTTTTCAAAAAATTAAAAAATTTAACTCAAGTCTTGAATATCCTTAATGTGTAGCTAAGAAAGTTGCAAAGACCAATTCATTTTTTAGTATTAACTATGGTGATAGTGATGTGGCCCTAAAAGGTAAAAACTAACCTCAGCAAAGCATATTCACATTCACACCACTCCCTCTTACAAAAAGTAATGAAATCTGACTTTACAAGAATGATCAATTAATGAACAGTTTAAAGGTTGATTCTTATACATTTTCATTCATTTGTTCTTCAAATCCAAAGGACATTTTGCTTAAAGAAGTGTATAATATGTGACTCATTCTTTGATATCGCAAACCGTTTTTGTGGCATTAAGTAATAGTATTCAATAACTAATATTTTTTGCACATTTTTTGTTACTATATTATGAATATAAAAATATAATAGATATTTTTTAATGAAAATTTCTACTTTTAGTTTCTTTTAAGAATTAAAATTCATATTTTTAAATTAAAAATTAAAATAAAATGATAAATTTAAAGTTAAGAACTACTAATTCTTCACATATAAATGCTGATAACTTATATATACTAAAATAAATAATAAATTAGTACTGAATTTATACATGTTTTGATTTAAAAGCTCTTACATTTAATTTTAATTTTTTATTTAACTTATATTTAACAGTCAGTAAAATAGTAATATATATATATATATATATATATATATATATATATATATATATATATATATATATATATTCTTACTTACCAAATAGAATGATACATAGAGCAAAACTAAAATTAATCTAACCAATCTACCCTAACAATTGTAGCCCTTTTAAGTTTATATGATTAACCAGCTCAATCGTGCACTCATCTTTTTAGGTTTTATTTGATGAAGTTCTGCTTTTGAAATTGCCATACCATGATTTTATTAAATAATTAGGTGCCTATATAGCACAGCTTGATACATCTTTTTTTTTTTTTTTTCCAATTCTGAAAATTGAAATTGCGTGTAATATCTTATATTTTTATTTTGTTATTTATATATATACTTATCTTTCAAATATATTTAAAATATAAAGTAAATATGTTTAGGTGTCATAAAACAGTTCACATTTATTCGTCATGTGACTATGTGTACTAAAGATTGTTTAATTTTGTCCTTTCGAGAATATGGTCTTCTATGCAGGTGATAGATTCTGATGAAAATACAAAGAAAGGATTTGCATTTCAGGTCCAACTGTTATGGTAGCCCAGGAAGATATAAAGGAGAGTGACAAAGGTTAAGGTTCTGCCTATGCAGTGAGGAAAATATTGTGCAAGGTTCCTGTGAAATGCAAATGTTAAACGTTGTTTTTCAAATCTTGATTCCATTTCATGTTCTCAAGCTTGTTCCAAGTCAAAAGTTGACAACTAGCTAAAACAACACGCCTCTGTTTTGAGTTAACCTTTTTTATTACATGTTAATTTTTAATTAGGAAGACATGCTTGGAGACAGAAAATGAAGACAAAGGACTTGAACTTATTAAACAAACTATAGTTTAATACTTGCGTAACATGGAACAGCACCAAACAACGATGGGTTTTTGGATTGGGCCGATATAGAAGTTTGGTATTAACTGAAAGCAGACATTTGGTGACAAAAAGAGAGGAATCGGATCCATTTTGTCTTTCTGAACTCTTTGTATCCACTTTCTTTTTGGTCCAACTTTGTTTCAGGATCTTATTTAGAAACCCGACCCCTTTTTTTGTTTTCTCTTGTTTGTCGAACCATGAATATTTGAGGAAGGGCATTTAAGCGATACATATTTTCAACATCTTTTGAACATGAAAATTTGAAAATGATTTATATATAATATTAGAAATAAAAAGATCTATAGACCGCAAAGCATTATGTATAAAAATTAAAATATTTTTTCTTTTGATCTGAAAAAAATTAATTAATATAATTCTGATAAGGTTTTTGCTAATATTGTTTGAAGATTTAAAAGAAGAGCGTTGACGTTGACATCGACATCGACCTTAGTCCTTGGGGCATCCGACAAAAGGTAAAAGAGCAGAAATTATTTGGATTATATTGGGAGTGCTAAGCGTAGTGTCTTCATGGCTGGTTTCATGATCTTTAAGGAAATAATATTCCT